AACCGCTAGCAATCATTAGCACATTTTCTTTGGAAATCTTCTGTTACTGTCAGTCATTTATAAGGGTCAAAGATGTTGTTCCTACCGCACAGAGTCCGGTATGGATCAGATGGGCACAAACCACCACGCAGAATATACTACAAACCCCATATGATGCCAATCTAATCAAAGAATACAGTTATTTTGGGTGAGGCTGTACTAACTGTGGAAGTTCACAGGCTCAGTGCCTCAGGTACCAGATCAGAGCTGGCTGCCATGTAACCAGGTAAGCACTCGCTGGTTCTGTCAGCATCACTCTCTGCTCTCCTTCAGTTCAGACTGCAGAGAGCTGGAATGATAATGGTTTTTCTGTGGAAATAAAAGGTTTCCTGTAGAATCAGGTGATAGCATTTTTTTTTTCAGCTGAACTTCCAGGAAACCATAGTCTCAAAGGTCCAATGTGAACAGCCCAGACACATCCTGCCTCTTTCCTACCTAAAGGAAATAAAGATTTGAACTCAAATTTTGATTATTCTCCAAACATGGGGAAAACTCAAAGTTACGTTGTGAGCAGAGCTCAGTGCCAGTTACAGCTAAAAATTGAAATGAGGGTTGAGGTCTGCAGCCTGAAGTGGTAGAGGATATGTAGCCTGCCACTCACACGGTGCTGTGCAAGAAAATGACTATTTCCTACAGTGACAATTGCACAGCAGCCTGCAGACTCTCCTCGTAATAGGATGGATGGACGGACTTCTTGGGATGTCACCCACACAACTTTACCTTGGTTTATCCTCTGGCAGCTCTGCTGTGACAGAAGCTATCAGCTTCAGCTTGGTCTCCTTGGCCATGGCATGGCCCTGGAACCCATCTAGCAGAAAGCCACCCACAGGTCGCTTGGCAGTCTCCCTGGCTGATCTGAGCCTCTCTTCCAAGATATCTCCACCTTCAATCACCCCAATCATTGCACTTCCTTGCAGTTCCTGGTCCAGGAGAAAGATACAAATGTTAGAGAATGCTCTGCCAAAGACATCCAAGAAATCTCTTCACAGCCCTGCTACTTAAACCCTTTTCACCCAAATGGGATGAGCCCCCACACAACACAGTGAAGTCCAGGCATAACACAGGGATTAAGAGAGACCAGATTCTGCTCTTGACTGACACTAAATCACCGAGAATTTTTGTGCTATTCTTTCCACCTCCCTACAGGAGGTGGTAACTACAGATCATCTTTGTATGCTGCTTTTTGTAGACACCCCTCAGCACTACAGGAACACAAGGCACGTGAGCAGAATGCAAAGCAGGTTCTATTACCCTGGCTGCCAGACACCAGAGCTCACACTGAATTGCTTATCAGGGATACAAACATCAGCTGTCACCCACTCTCCTTGCCACCACAGAACGAGATATGTCCTCTTTCATTAGAAGAGAGGGATGTCTCAGACCTGCTGGAAGAATGAAGGAATATCCTGGCAAATCCTGGTAAGTCCTCCCTCACCTGGTGCTGGGGGGACTTTGGAGCAAATCAAAGCTCTAAAGGGTTAGAACTGGGGCAAGAACACGAGTTGTTTCAATCTGAATGACAAGATCCTGCTTTGGCCAGGCATATAGCATGAAGGTAAGTGAAAAATGTCCACTTGAGTCCAAAAGCAGAATAAAATAAAAAACAGTTCCCCACAACTGGTAGAGACAGGTGCCCTGGAGCAGGAGACAAGTTACAAGAGAAGAGAGCGGCAGAAAAAAAACCCTACTGTGCTACCGATCACGCCTCCTCCAGGACTATCAACTGGACATCCCCCGATACGCATCACAAGATTTCCTACTAAACCACATCCTTGGACTGGCCTAGGATGCAACACAGACCAAAAAGCAGCTGTATTTGCAGCTCCCATAGATATTTTTGGGACCTTACTGGTGATTTCTCCAGCAGCTGAAGGCAAACGTCCAGGAAGGAAAGAGACCTATCCACGGACTTCTTGGCCCTTTTCCGACCGACTTCCCCAGAAATGGTGTCTCCGTCAGAGATACACTGAAACCAGTCTGGCTTGATGGCACGCTGTATGTCCATGAACTTGGAAGCTGTCATTTCCATGCGCCCTGAATTCCCCCACAGGGACACTGTCTGTAAAGGAAGAACAGGGATGAAGGTTTGTGGCAAAGGTTAACACTTTGAGAGTCAAAGGAAAGGAGGGTTCTGGTAAAATACCAGATGCTAGAATGACACTTTGTGCGTAAGCTCTCCAGGAGCACGGCTCAGATCATCAGCTGCTGTTGACACAAGAAAAGAAAGACGACTAGTGGCTGAGCAAGGATTTCTGGAATGCTCTTTGATGAAACCATCGTACACATCTGCTTCTCCCTTTTTCCCATTGGGCATCTCCCCTTTTACACTCAGTGACTACTTAGGGGTGCTAGGGAGTCTGAGATAGAGCAGCTGGCCTATCATCACCCAAATTAGCAGCAAAACTGAAAAAACAATAAAGATTTCATTCCATTCAGACTTGTATTATCACCCCATGAACGGCTGCAAAAGTTGCAATACGAAATATAGCTTTATAATTTTCTGTACGCACTACAGAAATGCCAGAAGGAATGAAACTAATTCCTCTTCCGAGCAGTGAATTCTCACAATCCATGTGAATATTTAAGTATGTGCATTTAAAGCACACAGGCACACTGGGAAAAAACACAAAAACATGTTACACAATTTAATCTTAGAACTCAGTCTTATTTTAGATCCTAAATCCAATTACCCAGGAAAGGACTGAAATACCATGTGGAAGAGAAATACACAGCCTCAAAATCCAGCAAGCTAAGAAATGGCAGGTGTACTTTAGGACTGTAATAAAATTAAGTCTCCTCACAGGCTTTCCATGCTGTGTGCATACTTGGGTCCCACCTTCCATCATTACCCCCATAAAAGATTGTAGAACAAGACAAAAGCAACTGTTCTGAGTGGTTAAGTTACGTGAACGCTTCCGGACGAGCAAATGTCACTATTCAATTCACTTCCTGGAATTCGCCTATATTCAATTACTGCAGCCCCTGCAACTATGCAAGAAGCTACTGTGTTTCATCCTATTCTGTGGAATCTCTAATTACTTTTCTTCTGGTGCATTACTGTTAATCTTGTGACATAGAGGCACTGAACTTTTAAAGGAGCATTCAAGCAGGTCAAGAGTCTGGGCTTGTGTCATGCAGAAGTTAGCTCTTTTTTTTTTTTTTTTGCCACTCCATTAGTGATTTTTTAAAATCAAGAAAGGTTTTCAACTATTAGAAAGACAAGTGTTGTGGGGACTTTTTTGTAGGGTGAGGGTTTAAATTAATTCTCCTCATATACACCAGAGACCAGATTAAACAGTACCATTCTTGTACATACAATTCACAAAGTGAATCTGAACAGCTGGTGCAAAAAATATGAATGGAGCAATTATTTTTCGTCTGGTCTCCAAAGAAAACAAAAGGACTGTGAAATTACACTGTGTGTCTGTCCATCCATCTCTCCTGATTACTTTAAAATTAACTACATTGGAGTAAGACAAAGAGACAGAAAGACAGACAAAAGCCTTTAGAGTAATTTTATTTCCTTAAGTTTCCCATAAAAGGTATCAGCTCCAAAGGAGAGAGACCCAAAAAAACGTAGCAGCTATACATTGTTCTGCAGCAGTATGCTGCTCAGTCAGTTTCTGCTGCCTCTTATGGGATGAGGGTGCTAAGGAGCAGCTGGAGAAGGTAGGAAGGGAAAAAGTGAGAGCTATTAGAGCCCTGACACAAAGCCTAATGAAGCTGGATTACCTACATTCCGCTCTCCAGAGGAAAAATTTGCTTTCAATAAGTAAAATAGCCATGCCACTAAAGCCCTAGATAGTTTGGAGAACTAAAGAGCTTTATACCATGGTTATTTAAATCCAGCCATACAGAGCAGAGCTCTCTGTCCCATTTCCTTCAAACTTTCCTAAGTACATGTCAGCACAGATCCAGTTGCAGGACAACTTACTGGCCTTGCAACTTGGTGACCAAAGTCACCATCAGCTTCAAAAAAAGCAGAGTCAAGCCTGCAACATCCAGGCTTAGTTCACTGTTTTGACCCCATAGCTGCACAGCAGAGAAACAAGCTGCAAGTAATTCTTTCCCTTCAGAGGGGCAGGACTCAGCCTAGTTCCCAGCAGCAAAGAATACACACTGTCAAAACCCAGCCTGGCGGTAGCTACCCTCCGTTAGTCAGTGACCCTTCACCAGATGTGCTCATACCTAAACAGGCCTCAGGACTGCCCACATCCCAGCCAGCGCTGGAAATAGCTCCTGTAGGCTACAGCCATGGCAGGCAGCACGTGACAGCTTGCACAGGGAACGCACAGGCCTGTGGGATGGAATTGGCAAAGGCCTGTACGACTACCCACTCCTGGACCATGGAACCACTTTCCTGTAGAAATGTTATATTCTCCCCCTTTGCAATCTAGTGGATTGTAAACATGCACACATAGGATTTCATGTTTATGGCTTATTAGTGTAATCACCATAAGCTTGGTCAACACATAAACCAAGACATACACAGTTCCTTTTACTACCACATCAACCACAACAACATGAAAGCCTAGAGCTCTCATTCCTATCTGAATTGCCACTTAACTGTTCAGGAACCCAGAGAACGGACTGCCAAGTAAGAAAGCGTCCAGCTTCATCAGGTTGGAGGTATGAGCATGTAAATCACATTCCTCTTCGTGCAGAGAGTTATTTTTCTATATGCACGAACATCATCTTGTGGCAGCCTCAGCACATCCACACAGATGAGACAGACTGCTGGTTTTCTTTTAGGAACTTAAAGCGGCCTCTTTCAAGTGTTTACAATGACTGTACCTTGTTAGTGTTGTAGCCAGATGGACAGAGAGCAACTGGGTCTTGGAGGGAGCAGTACAGCACTGTGTCTGGCATACCTGAGAACAGACACAGAGTAGAGCTTTGTCAACAAAAGCATAGCTAATCCAAAGATATGGTTTGTAAATACACAAGAGGAGACAGGATATCCCACAGGTAAGCATGTGTTCCTCTGCAGGATTGACAAAGAAAAATATAGCTCATTTGATCTCAGCAACAGGCTTTTGCCCCTGCTTTACTGACTGCCAGGAAGAGACGGCAGCAATGGGACACACCATAAGATAACATCCTTTGGTTCTACAACCTACCTAGGTCCTTTGAGATTTTAGTTATGTTTCTTCTTGATTAACACTCCTCCTAGTATAATTTGCCAGACACAATAGCTGATTCACTTGACCACTCAGCTGTTACATTGGGGAAATCTGACATTTGACAGTCTAAGCTGAGGAAAAATCTCAAGCCTAAGATTTTAAAGGAAGGCCATCATACAGTGAGAGAACCTATCAGCTATAGAAATGAGAAATTTATTTAGATTAGAAGTTTCAAATGTCATACAGTATGTCTTGATGCCACACAGTCTTTCCTTCACAAATCGTCATTGCAACTGTTAAAGCCTTTGAGAAGTTCCAAGTAAAAGGGATTTTCAAATTATCCTGAACACATAAACTATCCTAATCCAGTGAAAGCTTCTTGACAGTTCGAGTGCCCTGCGCATCTCCCTGGAAACACGTGCAAACACACACACACACATATTACCTATAAATTTTGCAGCTCCTTCTTTATATTCTTCCAGGACCTCATGAAGTTCTGCCCTGCATTCAGATACAGAAACACATTGAATAAGCAAACAACTGTCAAGAAACACAGGTGCTTGCATAACTACGGCTTCCCTTTCTCTATTTACATGTTGTCTGAATTTGGATTGGGTCAGGTGCCAAGAGTTATCATCTAACTATCAGGCAGCGAGGTAGGGACTACCAGAAGTAACAGCAAAGGCTCAGAGCTCAAAAAAAAAAAATCACAGCTTACAAATTGGGATGCCAATCACTCTGCAGCAAAACAGCAAGTTTTTACCCACGCTGACTAGGCAGAGCCCTGCTGGAGAACCTCAGGTCTCACTGCGACTTCTCGGCGGGACCCTCCGGATGACATTGCCAACGCGCAGCACCCAAAGGCTGCACGAGGCCGGCGAGGCGGAAAGCAGGGAGAGGGGCACTTCCAACAAGCTTTATGACCTCAGCTTTTCCTTTCGGTTTCCCCATGATGGATTTTTAACAACTTTAACTCTCACTTAACTCCGGGGCCTGGCGCCCGGAGACCGCCCAGCCCTCCAGGCCCTGCCA